TAGGAATATATGATTTTAATCTTATCTACAATGCTTGGGGGTTCTTTTTTAGCTATCAAGTAATAACATATCGGGAATCAAGGTTAGGTGGTCTGGGGATAGAAAAACAGGTATAGTGTTATCATATCAGAAATCAAGGCTAGGTGGTCTGGGGGTACACTAAATTATGGTTAGACCTATGTGATAGCTGCTGTCCCAGAACCCCCAAGTTTGCCCTACTGTACAAGTCTTCCATTTTTGCAATTTTTTCAACAAGTAAACCTTAAATCTTTTAAAATTTCTGATTTGTCGTACATATATAGTATAGGTAATTAGATATCCTTTAAAATTGACCAATCAGATTTCACGGTCTTACATATAAAACTTTTTATTAATAAATATAAATTCCAGGTTCCCAAGTCGATTTAAATTTCAATGTTACATGAACCGAAAAATCGAATTTGTGTGGCCTAATATGTATCGCATGGTATTAGAATTATTTTAGCTTATGATCCTGAGTCTGTGGTTCATGAAAACATTATTATATATGCAAAAAAAACTCATGGAAAAGGAATAGCTAAAAAAAAGTAAAAATTGTACGTTTGTAAAAAGGTTACATTGTACACGTGACAGATTACATTAGCCCTGTCCATTTCTGTTCCATTTCGATCTGATCCGATTTTCACAAAATTTTTTAGCTAATCAAATTCATTTAAAAATCGGATCAATAACCGGATTAACAGATCAAAAAAATTGATGATCCGAATGTTCTGAATACGCGTTTTTTACAGTCTCGCGTTTAAATTTACTAACAATGACTTCAATAACTTCTAAAAACAAGAAAAAAGTTTTGTCAGCAAGCAATAAGGACGTTAATACAAATGTAAAACTCCATGTTACTATACGTCCAGAATCGACCACATTAAAACAAAGTAATTTGCCCATTAAGATGATTGCATCTGAATCAACTTTAACTCATAAAGAAATAACTCAAACAATTATTGACCTTTCTGATGACCTTACTGAATCTACTAAAGATGTTTGTATTTATGTTTTTGTCTAGTATTAATTTTATTTACTTTATTTTAATATATTCTATTTACAAATAGCTAGACGTGGAAACTACCCAAGAAGAACCACAAAAAATTGAAGTTTCTATGGTAAAAATTTCAGTTTAATACACTTAATTAGATTTCTATAAATTAAGACTTACTTTTTTACTTACTTTAGCCACCAATTAAAGGTACTAAACGTAAAAAGCAGGTCTTGAAAAAAGAAGTTAAATCAAATGATGATGCCAAGTGGACAGATAGCGAAATTAAAATATTGCTTGAGTTTTGGAAAGAAAATTTGGAAGAATGGAAATGGGGAAAGGTGAAGGTTTATCAAAAAATTATAAGTGAAAACGTGTTACCAGGTCGTACTCTTGATCAAATTAGAAATAAGGTTGGAAAATTGCATGAAACATATTTGCAAAAAAAGAAAAAAGCTAATTCTACTGGTGAAGGTAGTGTAGAATGGATTTGGTTCTCACAAATGGAAGAAATTTTGTCACAGAGTAAAGCTATCAACCCGGATTATGTTACAGATTCAACTTCAAATTCTCCTCCTATTTCTGATGGCGAAAATTCAGATAATAAAGAAAATTATAAAGCCGATGAAACACGAAAAAAGAAAAGAAAATCAACAGGAATTGAAGGTATATCTGGGGTAATTGCAGCAATAGGAGAATCAAGGGATAGGTTTTATGAAAAAAAACTAGACTTAGAGGAGCGTGAAAGCCAAAAGAAATTCGAATTGGAGGAAAAGAAATTAATTCAGCAATACGAGTTGAAAAAGAGTAAATTGGAGATAGAAAGATTGCGTGCTGAAAATGAGAAGGTTAAATTAGAGTTGGAAATGTTGAAATTTCGCAAAAATAATGAATGAAAATTTTTTATAGATTTGAAGTTTACCTTATATAATTACATATATTTGTTAAATATAATATAAATATAAAATATTTTTTTGTAAAATTTGTTTATTAATTACTTGTTATGCTACATATTAATTTAACATTCTTTCTCTTTTAAGTTCGCCTTCTAATTTTAAAATTTCATCACTTTCATCTTCCCAATCATATTGATCATTATAATTATCATCGTCATCATTATTTTGATCATTAATCTCCCAAATTTCCCCACAAATTTCAAGAAAGTTATGCAATAATATAGCACAATCTGCTAATTTAATTGCTGTCTTTATATCTTTTACAGATAATTCTTTTAATGCTTTGAATCTAGCCTTTAATCTACCAAAGGCATGTTCTACAACAACTCTATGTTTTGAATGAATAAAGTTAAATTGACGTTGTCGATAATTAAATGGATTTTTAAAAGGAGTAATTAAAAAGGAAGAGATCGGATATGCTGAATCACCTAACACATAATCATCTCCTTCAATATATTTTGCTTTATTAAGAAAAAAATCAGAATTAGCATAGACTTGTGCATCATGCACTGATCCCGGCTATCCTATTATATAATTAATAAAAATTCCTTTAAAATCAACAATTCCCCTGTAAAAAAAAAATGTCCGGAAATTGTAGCTAAAAACATCCGGAAAATGTCCGTGTGTCCAGAAAATGTCCAGAAAATTGCAATATTCCGGACACTTTCTGGACGCTGGGTCTGAACCCTCCTAGACATTTTCTGGACATTTTCCGGAAAATGGAAATTTTCCAACGTCCAGAATATTGCAATATTCCAGACATATTCCAGACAAATAAATATTTTCCGGACGTTTTCAGCTACAATTTCCGGACATTCTTTTTTTATAGGGTTCCTTGACAATGAATCGCATATCTTTTTTTTCTTGTAAAAAATGCTGTTGGATCTTGTGCAGGTGCTTCATTTAAAATAAAATGAGTCCCATCTATTACTCCAATAATATTCTGAAACCCCCCAATAGCTTGAAATCCTGCATGAACAATAGCACGATTATTATTATTTTTAGGCCATTGAACAAACTCCAATTTTTTATTTCTAATGGCCTTTATTACACGGTTAATATAAAGAATTACAGTACCTTCACATATTCCAAATCGAGAACAAATACTTAAAATATCATCTTTAGAACCTAAACGCCTAAGAAATATTACTAATTGAAATTCAACTGGTGCCTGTGGCTTATTTCCTTTGTTTTGAAAAACTGTATCGTTCTGTAAAACTTGTACTAGCTTGTTAAACTTAGAGCTCCGAACAAGTTGAGTCGAGTCGAGTTATATGTAAACTCGATTTGACTCGAGTTAAATCGAGTCGAGTCGAGTCGAGTCAAAATTATAAAAATATAAACTCGACTCGATTCGAGTCGAGTTGGCCCGTCAAACCGAATCGAGTCGAGTCGAATTAAATCACGTGATTTTAATTCGGCTATGCCGATCATTTCCTTTTTTGGCGATAGCCGTTCCACAAAATTCCATTTTTGTAATTTTCAAAAAATTTTCGTCTCGGATTTTGTGTAACATAATTTCCAAAAAAGGAAATTCCATAAATTTGGCCGGAATTATGTTTAATTCGGCTTAACTCGACTCGACTCGATTTTATTAAATCATTAACTCGACTCGAATCGAATCGATTTGATTGTAATTTTCAACTCGACTCGACTCAACTCGACTCGACCAACTCGCGAGTCAACTCGACTCGTTTCGGAGCACTAGACTTAAACTGTTGTCTTTCCATTCGTAAAACTTTTTTAAACCGTATATCATCATATAATGGTAAGATTTCATGATACCAATGTTGAGACTTAGGAATATGGTTTCGGGGAACAAGATAACGTAAAGAGGATAAAGCAAGAAGTATTTCTTTTATTAAATCATTATTATTATCTAATTCATCATCATTAAAAGAGTCAAAAGAGTCATTTAAATCCTGTATTGTTAATAACATTAAAGCATATTCAATATCCTTTTTAGACATAATTAATAAAAAGAAAAAAATCGGAACAGAATGGAATAGATCATAACGCGGATTTTCCTGCTCAATTTACGCTGTTTTTTGATTGGCCAAAAAAAATTTTGTGAAAATCGGATCAGATCGGAACGGAACAGAAATGAACAGGGCTATTTTTTTGCATGTATTAATTCAGTTAAAAGGCTTGCTAGTAATACTACTGCGATTATATTGCCAACATCAGATACTGTATATGCTTCATAAAATTATTTTTCTGCGCCTTTACGCTAAATCTCTATTAACCGCATAACCGGGGGATATAATTTTATATATCAGGTTAAAGTGAAGTGTCATTTACGTAATTCGTGATAAACATCTTAATTTATTATGTAGAATATGTAGAAGATCGCCAAGGCAGCAAATCGGCAAATCCGTTTTACGTCCGATTCGATTGCATATTTGATGACAAATTAACTAATTTATGATCAGCTGCCCGTTTCAATAGGAGTTTTATTTCCGGTAAATAATTTTTAAATATTCCCCACACTACTCTCTTCATTCTCTTAATTATTATACTCAATTTATTTATTAATTGAATAATTTCAAGATGCAAATTTACGGCCTTTGTTGTGTAATTGAGAATAAAGAAACTCCGATTCCTTTACAAAATGTTGTCATTGAAGCTAATAGTAAGTTTAAAAACTGATAATCTGGCGTTTGTACTATGATTATTATTATGTAATCAATTAAATTTCCAAATTCTAAATTTCACTTATAGTTGTTGATATGATAACTGAAGGTTTGTTAAAATTTGGTCAAAATTATAAAATAATTGTAACCTATATATATTTACATAAATATTTAAATATTATAATTATTTTCTTTTTTTTCCTTTTATAAAGTTACAATCAGCCAAACTTATAAAAATGTTGAAAAAGATCCTATTGAAGCTCGATATAAGTTTCCCATTCATGAAGCCGCAGCAGTCTGCGGATTTGAAGCAGATATTGATGGACAAAGAAAAGTAAAAGGCGTCGTAAAAGAAGCAAAAAAAGCCGCACAAGAATATACTGAAGCAATTGAGGTAAAAAATACCTTTAAAAACTAATTTTTAATATAAATTATTATTTATTCATATATTTACATTTAAATTATTTTTCTTAAATTGATTAGAAAGGACATGGCGCATATTTGTTAGAATCTGAATCCGCAGATGTATTTCAATGTTCTATTGGAAATATTACATCCGGACAAACTATAGTCGTAAAGATTACGTATGTTTCTGAACTTAAACACGATTCTGAAACAGAGAAAATCCGATTTGTTCTTCCAACTCATATCGTGCCAAGATACGGCTCTTCAACTTCGACTTCAACATCATCATCAAATGACGGGAAAATTCTTGAGCCTGATGCCGTGTTATATTCTAAAGAAGCTAATTTTTATTTAGACCTCACTGTTACTTGTAGAATGACTTCAATTATTCAAAGTATTGAATCACCTTCACATAAAATTTCTACTGAAATGAATATTGACGAAAATCCTAAAATTTCAAAGATCACTTTAGCTGATCAAATCACTTATTTAGAAAAAGATTTTATTCTTGTAGTTAAAAGTAAAGATCTTGATCAACCACGGTAAATACAAATATTTATATTATCTATTTGTTATTAATTCATTCTTAAATATAATTAATATAATTATTTGATTTTCTTGTATCTTTTAGTGCTTTTCTTGAATACAATCCTGAAACACAAACTAACTGTGTTATGTTAACTTTGGTTCCGAAATTTTCATTGAATACAACTATTACTGAACTAATTTTTGTCGTTGATAGGTATGATATAATTTAAATTAAGCGTGATAATTTTACTAAATTTAATTAACATCGATAATATAATATATATATTTATTTTTGTTGATATGGGATAGATCGGGTTCAATGTCTGTTGAGCCTATGAAGAAGGCTGCGCAAGCACTTGAATTATTATTACGTTCAATTCCTGAAGATTGTTACTTTAATGTAGTTTCATTTGGAAGTCATCATGATTCTCTTTTCCCTAAAAGTCAACTTTATTCCGAAGAATCTTTATCTGAAGCTATTAATCTTGCTCAAAAGATGACTTCAAATTATGGAGGGACAGAAGTTTATAGTGCACTAAAATGGTCATTTGAAAATTCAAGAAATGATATGGCAACTACTGTATTTCTTATTACAGATGGTGAAGTTTGGAATGTTAATCAGATTGTAGAACTTGTACGTACAAATGAAGAAAAAAAGGACGGTGACCTACGTCTTTTCTCGTTAGGAATTGGTGATGCGGTTTCTCATCACTTAGTCGAGTCTGTTGCTCGTACCGGTAAAGGATATGCTCAATTTGTAACAAATAGTGAAAGGATGGACAAAAAAGTTATTGGAATGTTAAAGAATGCATTGAAACCACCAATCAAGGATTATGAAATTACTTGGACCGATAATAATTTCTTAGAATCAAATAAAAATGAAGAATCAGATATGATGCAAGATATTAATTTTGCGAGTGATAATACATCATCATCACAAAATGATATTTTTACCGATTTTAAAGTTCAACAAGCTCCATATTTCATTCCACCAATTTATCCAGGTGTTCGTTTTATTGTTTATTGTATTTTGGAAAAAAATATTGAACCGTGTAAAGTTATTACTTTAAATGCTACTTCTCAAGATGGTCCCATTAAACTTGATATTCCTTTGGATCCTGTCACTTTACAAGGTTCAATTATTCATAGATTAGCAGTAAGAAAACTCATTCAAGATCTTGATGATGAAAAATCATTTCTTCATAAGAATCCTAAAAATGCTGGTAAAAATATTTCAGCTAAAGAATATATTGTTAAACTTGGTAAAACTTTTAATTTAGCATCAAAACATACAAGGTATAAATAAATTTTTCAATTTTTATTATGATAGTATTATATTACAATACATATCCACTCTCATATTTATTATTTAATATCTTATTATTTTTACAAGTTTTATTGGAATTGATGAAAGGACAAGTGAACCTGATGAAGTTTTTATCAAAGCAAAGCAAGTAATTGTCCCCCAAGCTGTTGTCTCATCTGGTTCAGGCAGGGGATTATCAGGACGTATGTATCAATTTTATAAGAAAAAAAAATAGAAATACATTATATTTCGTGTATTATATAAAACTTAATTTTTTTTTAATAGAAAAATTCTAATTAATAATATTTATTACATAGTTGGTAAGGGTGGTGCTAAAAGGCATCGAAGAATAAGTTTTGATGCAATGAATGATGAAGATGATGAAGATGATGGTAAAGGAATCATTTTATTTAAATTAATTTATAATTAAAAAAAAAATAAATAAGAAATATTTTTTTAATAAACATTTAATAAATAGATGCTCCACCACCTCCAAAACGTTCCGCAACAAATCGAACAGCCAGAAAATCAACGGGTGGTAAAGCTCCCAGAAAACAACTAACAACTTCAGCTGCAAGATCGCAACATGTAGCACAGGAAACGACATTACAAGAAATTGAACAGCTCGAAATTAAAATTAATCATAAAGAATCAAACGTTGAAAATTTATTTGAATTATTAGGACTACAATCATTTGATGGTAAATTCTTACCAAATAAATCATTTTATGAATTTTTTTATAAAAATGATTTAAATGATTTAAATGATTTAAAACAAGAAATTAAAAAGGAAATTGGAGAAATTAAGGAAATTGAAGAGATATTAACTACTTGTATTTCTATGAAATATCTTGAAATAATTATGTTTGAAAATTTTAAAGACGAATGTGAAATGTGTTATGAAAAAGCTGAAAAAGCTTTAAAGAAAATGGTTGAAAATGAAGAAAAAAGAAATATTATTTCTGAAAAAGCTAAAGAATGGGTTCAAAATTGGGTCAATGATAAAGAGTAAAGAGATTAAATAGCAAAATTGATTTTTTTTTTATAATTTGCTTTTTATTTTGTGATATTGAATGTACATGTTATGTATTGTATATTAATAATTATATATTATTAAAGCTCTTCAAGCAAGGTTAAGAACCTGCAAAAATGAAATTAATTATTAATAAATCTTTCGTGTATTATTATGTGACACTTCAATTGTTGTCGGCACCATCAATAATAATAGAATGTTTCAAGTCTCTAACTAGTAAGTGTGACATGACGTAATTGCTGTATCTATACATTTAATTTCTCGAATCAAAGATTTAAAAACATTTCTAGAGTCTACAATTCCAATAATAATAAGTATTGAAATTGTCTAATTTAAAGTTGATTGGTGATGAATTTTTAACCTTGAACATAGTTAGTTCAATTCATAAATTCAAAATCACGAGCGATCTATATATTATTATTCCAAGAATTTTTTGATTTTGAAGTCGTCACCGTAACAAAAAATTTTCACTCTCACGTGATCATTAAAAAATATTTGTCACTTATAATTCCATCATAACGCTGGGCAAAAGCCACGTGAAGGTGGAATTTTGTTGGTAATGGATAAGTATTACGTAAATCCTCAAAATGTTGCTTATTATCAGATGGGAAAATTCAGAAATAGTCCACCGATTGCAAACAGAATCGAACTAGATTGTGAATCTCATTGCTGCTATCAATTATGTATCGAAGGCATCTTCTCCAAAAAACTACTTTATTGCGTCAATTACAATTTTATTTTGTACATTAAAGTCGTTGAATTAACTGTTAAATGTATACGTTTTAATGGACCTCATTTACATATACTAGATCCATTTGTACATCACACATGAGTTTGTTTAGTATCCTTTATTAGCCATTTATGCTGCAAAATACTGTTTTAGTTGCAGAATCCTAGAATTTATATAAAGTGTCAAAGAAATCAGCGAATATTTTCAAATCAAAATTTGTACTTGTTCACACAAAGACCACTAATGATTTATATACAGTACTATAAAATCTGAAAGGTTGTAAATAATCTTTACTAATGCGTTTGTGGTGTATTAGATGTCTACAATAAAGTAAAGCTTTCAAAGTTAAACAATATATATCGATTATTCCAGCTATAAATATATATAACTCATATATTCAATGATAACGACTGATAGTTTAATGAAACGAATAAGAAGAAATTTTTTAGGTAGATCATCTATGTAATTCCACATGGATTATATGTGGAATTTGTGATCTACGCTGAAAATACCACGTGTTTTATCTGGAAAATATTATTTTAACAATGTTAAGTTCATGTCTCTGACCCCGTCACTTGAATATTGCCTCAACTTCCTCATAAATACATTCCCTTATGAGACTATCTCAAATAATACGAACTAATTTAAGATTTTCAACGGTAGTAGTGGAAAGAACGATCTCAAAATAAGTGGAAAGAAATCTACAATCGACTTAGCCGATTTCGGTTAGATTGTGATCAACGGGCTAATTATTAAAAAGAAATTTAATTTACAACAATTTACAACATTTTATACTCATTATTGTTTTCTTGGGGTTTCCTGGAATATTCTAGTTCATAATAGGTAATTCTTAAGTATCATTGTTTTTTTATAGCCATTATTAAATTATGAGCTTCATCGGGAAAATTACTTTTCTAAGCTAATTTTGGCTTTAAAATGGGTTCTAAATAGAAAGTCGAATAATATAAATTGTACTACCAGATATTATTTATAAACTCTTTACGCTTTAATAAATATTCATCATGTCGACTCGCAATAACTCTCAGTAAGTTTTTTTTTTTACTTTTTTCAATTATTTATTTGCAGTACTATGGTTTTAACTTTTAATTTAATTCTTCTCCATAAAACACAAAGCAGCTTTGATTTAAACATGATAAATTTTTTAAGAGCAGTATCGAATTTAGCAGCTGCTATGGCATTGATTATATTTGCCGTAAATCTAGCTGATATTGTTAAAGAAGTAAGATATATACATAATGCTAACTTCAATATATACGAAATTTATAATGATATAAGTGTACCTTCTAGTAATAATAGCAATATCACTAATATCATTGATCGTCTCCCAAGAATTCTTAGCTAATGTAATTATGACACTTAAAATTTTTTTAAACAATTATTACGTTATTATTTTATTATATTAATAATAACAACAAAAAAAAAAAAAAATAGCGGGAAATGTAGTAATATTGTCTGAAGTTGATTATTCACACATTTTGTTTTGAGTAATAGAAAATACATTAATCAGATGATAATTTTATGATCAACAATTCTATTATTAATATTATTAATTGAACGATATTTTAATTATAAATAATTTAATTGACATTGTTAAATTCGTAAATAAAATGGCATGATAATAATTAATTCTTCAAATATTAAACAAGTATGTATTATGTATTATGCGTGTACGTTTCGTATTTATTGTATTTATTGTGTACCGCATGACTGATCATTTGATATAAATAATGATGATCATATAATAAAACGAGGAATATCACTCCATTACTATTTTATGATGTTGCAAGTCAAGTACTGTATAACTCTTAATTTAGTTATGATCTTGAAAATAACATGGATGTTGCATCTTTCATATTGATATGGCACGACGATTGTTGATGGCGCTATAATAATGTCGAAATGAAAATTAGAAAAGAAAGAAAAAGGTTCCTATAAACCTATCATTTTAAGTAATTATCAACATTTTCAATCACTCTTCATCCGCACCGCAAGATTCTTATCAGTATGTATAGGACTCATAAAGTAATTTAATTAATTTAATTAAAATTTATTTTAATTTAGAATCATTTGAAATCTCCTATGTGATGAGTTTCGGGATTTTGTACGGCACCCGACAGGTACGGGTTAGTAATTTTTATATGGTGTGATTATCCCGAAATAGATATTCAATGAATCATGCTACAATTACTACATTCATGGATCGCGGATCAACTTTGTTAAAAGAAATATATATGTACAGTATAAACATTGGTATAAAATGAAAGACCTTACTGTATTTTTTTAAACAACTATGAACGCTGGGCTTTATTGGAAATTCTTCGTACACAACTACCATACCTACACTCCTGAGATAACCGAATGCTGGGTAATAATATTGGCAAAATATTGTCGTCTTACCATCTGAGAATATAAAGGTTGAAACCATCCAAAAACAACCTTAACCGATTAAAACAGGATATCCAAGGGACTTAATCGTTTAATTAACCGGTTAACATTAAACGATTCTAACCACTACATGAAAATTCCAGAAGTTTTGAGTAGCAGTCATACAGCCCTAAATCTATCCAATCGAAAACTTTTGGTCGATCGTAATGATAAAGAGTACTTAGATAACGCGTGAATTAATTAGTGAAAACATTGGCGAACGTATATCATATTAATAAAACCTGAAAAGTACTAATTATATTTTTAGTTATTTCAAGCGATCGACGAACCCCAAATTTTGCGTGACAAGAATAAGCCACATGTTCATTTGTCCATAGTGCCAATTAAATATAAGATCATCTGTCGTGAGTAATACGTACAATATTAAAGGAGCTTTTATTAAGGTAACTCGATGACAAATTTGAACAGATTTGATTTAACTAATTCGTTGAGTTCAAAATTTTTTAATCGGATAAGAGAATGTATCAATTTGGCTAAAATTTAAGAAATGACATTTAACGAATTAGTAATAATAGTTGCGGAAAATATAAGTGAATTGATTATTAAAGCGAGCGGCTAATTTGAAAATTCGAATGACTTCAATGAGTTCAGCCGATAATGGTACTATAAAGAATAAATAAAAACCAATTATCCAGTTAAAATTCCATTGATTTGTTTTTATTGTTTATTGGCTAAAATTTAAAAGTTAAAAAAAACGATCAACTTTAACCGGTTAATCGATTACTGTAACCAACTACCATAATCAAATAATAATCGGTTAATTAATCAGTTAAATAATCAATAAATTAATCGGTTAATATGTATAAATATATATAAATGTTCAAAAGTTTCAAGTTTCGGAACATTATTATGATTATAATGGCGTAGAGCATGTTTATGATAGTGCATGAAATTTAAAAATAGGCGGAAAAAAAATCAATTTTTTAAATATTTTAACATTGATAAATTATTTATTCTTAAATTTATTTTTCTAATTAATAATTAATTGAGACTAGAGTAGATGTAACTTGTAAGCTTTGATTAATATGTTCCAAAAATATACGTGAATCAATATGATCATTTTAAGCCGCTTCTAAATAATTTAAACGCTTTAATTTTATTTATTTCAGTTCCTATTCCATATTGATAACATTCTCCAAGTTTATGCAATGACCTCAAATCACCAAATTCAACTGCTTCTTTATATAACTTAAATGCTTTGTTTTCATCTTTTTCGGTCCCTATTCCATATTGATAACATTCTCCAAGTTTACGCCATGACTCCAAATCATAAAATTCCTCAACTGCTTCTTTATATAACTCAAATGCTTTGTTTTCATCCTTTCCGGTCCCTATTCCATATTGATAACATTCTCCAAGTTTACGCCATGACTCCAAATCATCAAATTCCTCAACTGCTTCTTTATATAACTCAAATGTTATGCTTTCATTTTTTTCAGTCCCTATTCCATATCGATAACATTCTCCAAGTTCATGCAATGCCAAGCAATTACCAAATTCAGTTGCTTCTTTGTATGACTCAAATGCTTTAGTTTCATCTTTTTCAGTCCCTATTCCATATCGATAACATTTTCCAAGCTCATATAACGAACTAATATGACCTTGTTCAGCTGCTTCTTTGTATGACTCAAACGCTTTAATTTTATTTATTTCAGTTCCTATTCCATATCGATAACATTCTCCAAGTTCATGCAATGCCAGGAAATTACCAAATTCAGTTGCTTCTTTGTATGACTCAAATGCTTTAGTTTCATCTTTTTCAGTCCCTCTTACATACCGATAACATTCTCCAAGTTTACGCAATGACTCTAAATCATCAAATTTATCAACTGCTTCTTTATATAACTCAAATGCTTTGTTTTTATCTTTTTCGGTCCCTATTCCATATTGATAACATTCTCCAAGTTTACGCCATGACACCGAATCTTTAAAAAAAGCTGCTTCTTTATATGACTCAAATGCTTTGTTTTCGTCTTTTTCAGTTCCTATTCCATATTGATAACATTCTCCAAGCTTATGTATTGAAGTAATGTAACCTTTTTCAGCTGCTTCTTTATATGATTCAAATGCTTTAATTTTATTTATTTCAGTTCCTGTTCCATGATTATAACAATATCCAAGTTTAAATATTGAAGTAATATGACCTTTTTGGGCCGCTTCTTTGTAAAATTCAAATGCTTTGATTTTATTTATTACAGTTCCTATTCCATTTTTATAGCATTCTCCAAGTTTATATATTGAAGTAATGTGCCCTTTTTCAGCTGCTACTTTGTAAAATCCAAATGCTTTAATTTCATTTTTTTCCGTTCCCATTCCATATTGATAACATTCTCCAAGCTCATATATTGAAGTTATATGACCATTTTGAGCTACTTCTTTATATAATTCAAATGCTTTAATTTCATTTTTTTCAATTCCTACTCCATGTAGATAACATCTTCCAAGATCATATTTTGAATTAATATGACCTTTTTCAGCTGCTTCTTTGTACAATTGAAATGCTCTGATTTCATTTTTTTCAATTCCTATTCCGTACTGATAACAATAACCTAGATGACGTATATTACTTGGAGGTTCTGATTGGTCACTATACTCTATTTGCATGTTCATTTCTTCACTATCTTGTAACTCGAAAGATGATTGAGGACGTTGAGTAAAATGTTGTGAAGATAATATATTAGCATTCTGATCTTCACTCATATGGCCACCATTAAAATTGTTAATTAATTGTTGTTGTTTGGGTTGTGATTTTGCATTACTCGGTGCTTTTGAACATTTGTCAAGGTGGGCTTGCATTCGTTCAGGAACAGCTCGTTGATAATTTTTGCAACAGTATTTACATTGCACAAAAGGATGTGAGTTATTGCTTTCAACTACAGTCTTGAAGAAATGTTTCCAAACGGCGCCTTTCTTTCTCTCTTTTCTTATCATCTGATATTTAGTTTCTTATTTAGTTGTTTGTAAGAAATAAATATATCCAGCGAATTGAGGCGATAAAAAAAATGAATGGTTATATAAAGAATTATACAATTTACGCTAGTGAAAAAATGGAAATTTTGTGTTAAAAAAAGGAAAATTATTTAACCGGTTAATTAACCGTACTGTAATAATAAAATATATGGCTCGGTTAATTAACTTTATTTAGACTAAGAAATGTTACACTCTTATTTTTTTTTTTTGGATAATCGACCCCATAAATTGTGGAAAATTGGTGTAATTAACATCAAACTATTCATAAAAAAAAATTACCAAATTTGATTATAATCGGTTATAAATGGCGATAACTTCGTAATGAATATAATCAACTCAATGAAGCTGTACAATATCTTTCAATTATGATAATAATAAAAAAAAAAAATTTCACGTAACTAGTAAGTACCAGGAAAATCAGTTTATAAAGTTTTATATTGGGAAAATAATAATTTTTTTCATTCAAGTGTTACTTTCTAAAACTAGTAATGTTCAATTTTGCATCGATTGGCTATTAATTAATCTATATCACACCTTTCGATTATGGCACGTTTTGGATGTTTCAAGAAGCTTAGATATTATTAATAGTTCAAATTTATTGGAAACATCAAAAATTTGTATCGCTTAAAAGAATGGTTTGGTTTAAAAGACATAAACTTGTAATAAAGAATTCATTTTGTTTAATTGAAAATTTTCTTTGTATTTTATTTGAAAGAAATTCAAATTAAAGATAACTTCGACCATATTATAAGAAACTATTACTACGAAAACGAGTCTCTGAAAAATTAAGATAAACTCTACAAACGAATAGAAGGTGTGGATACATGGAGAAATTTGATAATGTGAACACAGTTTGTAATTTAGAAAACGAAATTTGGACATACTGTACATAATGAAACCACCTGAAATTAATCTATAGGACAGCCT